GTATTTCTTTTGTGACCCCAGGGAGGTTCTGTTTAATCCAAAAGCAATACTCAAGTTTGTGAAATGTGTTTCATTGTCTTTTGTTTTGGGGATACCCTGTGGGGTTTTTGTGTTCGTCATCATTTTGTTGAGTAAATGAATAATCTTGTTTAACATATGGAGCAAAATTATTGGAGTTATAGAACAGAATTGTTTGCTTTTTCGTGAAAAAAACATGGCTCCATAATCAACCCATTTAGCCACTACAAATAAAATGCAAAAGGTTAGAAGGCGGATATTGATGCATGTTTTATATGAATTATAATGTGATGAACTTAACTTTGGAAAAAAAAAACGCCTCATGAATGATGAAAAGTTGGTTGATTAGTTGTTTGACCATTTAAATTTATGTTGAACATAAAAAAGTGCAACATTGGTTGAAAACAACAAAAGCAACCAAAAACTCTCTTTTTTTCTCTCTGAGCATTTAGATTTGGAACACTGACGCTAATACCGTGGCCTGCAACCATCGGAGATTCTTCCATCAGCCATGAGCAAGAGAGTTATTATTAGTTTTCATTGAAAACCGTAAAAAAGTACAACATATTTTTTTGTAAATTCTTTTTTGTCTGATAAATAAGTTATATTGATTAAGTTAAAATTTCTGTATGGATATTTGAAAATGAGACCCATATAAGTAATCTGTAAAACATGGTATTTTTTTTAAAAACAATTACAGAAGAAAAGGTTGATCTAGTATTAAATTTTGGCTTCTTGTGAAAAATGAATGTGACCCCTTTAAATTCAAAGGTCACACTGCTTTAATGAGAAATTTGAAGGTCATGTAAAATTGAAGCACCATTCTAAGGTCTGAAGAGATTTAGGAGAAATCAGACAATAGTGTTTGTAGCAAAATTTTCTTTAAAAAATTGGTAAAATCTTATCTTACTAACCCAGGATCTTATTTTATCACCATAAAAAGTGATCAACCACATTTGGTTTCATTCTCCAACATTGCAATTGGCAAAAAAGTTCTTAGCAACCCTAATGTATCATCATAGTGTTATATGGCTTTTATACAAACATATATACATACAAGGTAAATGGACAATTTATATAGAGTTTTTTAGTGTTGATATCCAATTTACAATGCTCAGATTAGGGAAAACTTGGGCTCCAGAAAGTTTCCCAAGGACACCTTGGTGTGTGAAACCAATATCAAACTAACAACTCTCAAAAGGACACCCAATGGCTCTTCCTTTCTGAGCCTCAGCCATTAAAGGGTATTGCACCTCAAGTGTACTATACCTACTGAGTGTCTGAAAGTACACCAAAGGTTATTAAGATTAGCTTTAAGCTGACAAATTGTTAGACACTTTGCCATCATGTACAGGTATATTAATTTACCAGGGATTCTGCATATAGAGCATGAAGCGTGAAGCTTGAGAAGACAGTTATATATATACTGTATATATGTACACATACATGTACACTTCTGATAAAAAGTTTTAAGACAAATTGAAAAATGGCAAGAATTCATATTTTGCACTGTTGGATCTGAATAAAGTTCTAAGTAGAGCTTTGAAATGCAAATAAAAGAAATGGGAGTAAGCTTTTATTTTAAGCAAGCACTAAGCTGAAATAGGCTGTTCATCAGTTGATCAAAAGTTTAAAGCCACAGCTTTTAAAAGCCCAAATCTTTACAAAAAAATGTAGATTCAGTGTCATTTTCTGTTAGGTATGCACAGCTTTAACATGACCTCCAGATGGCAAGGCAAAACAGTTTTCTGTCTTTAAACGCAGTCAAATTGTTGAGCTGCATAAGCAAGGCCTCTCGAAGCGTGCCATTGCTGCTGAGATGGGCGCAGTAAGAGTCATTTTAAATGTCTTAAAAGATCCTGAGGGTTATAGAACAAAAAATCAAGAGGTAGACCTAAAAACATTTCACTGGCCCTTAGCCGTAGGATCCAATTGGATGTCCATCAAGACTAGGGATGGGTACCTTTGACGTTTGAATCGATTCGGTACCAATATCCGGTACCTGGAAGTCGGTACCGGTACTTAACAGTACCAATTTTTGGTACTATGTGTGTGTTGTTTTTAGAATAATAAACTTAAAATTTTTTTAAACGTATTTCTCAATATATAAAATTTAACAAATATTAAGACAACATCCAACTCTATGCATTGTAACATCAGTTGTTTAACAAATATCTTTAAAGTGAAAACTCTTGAAAACAACAAGACTGTTTTGTCTTATTGCACAAATTAAAATCCATTTCCACATGTTTCTATTGATGACATTTCCCCGCTAGAGAAAGTGTGTGATGGAGGTCCATGGAAGGCAAATAAGTTTAAATCAAATAAGCAAAAGAGGATGGAGTTAAAATAAATAAAAGGTATTAAAGCTACATTTTGAGCATCCAAAACGCATCCAACACTTCAAGTTAGCTTCTTGTGCTCTTTCAGGTCAGACGTGTTCGGAGTGTCGAGAAGCGCCTCTGTTGTTTTCCTCTGTCGGTCTCTGTTTAATGGCGGATGAAATAAAGTGGCAGTATTTTATTTACTTTGAGCAAGCAAACATTGTGTTCACCAGATAATTAATTCACCAGATAATTCAGAGGCGGTCTGTCAGGTGACTTTCACTCCAGGAGCTGCAAGGCTCGGTTTCAAGCAACTCTGAACTCCACTGAACCAGCGGCTGCTGGCGTCATTACACTCTTGCGTGACGCTGCATTCAGGACAAGCATGAAAAAAAGCATGGAAAACCCACTACTCATACCAATACGGTCACAATGATGTGTTTAGGTACCAAAACATGGTACTGTTTGATGTTACGTGAATCAGTACTCTGTAGTACCGACAGAATTCGGAATGTACTTATAAAAGTATCGAATTCAGTACCCATCCCTAGTCAAGACATCGGACGATTCTCAGCCCAAATTAATCTTGTCGCTGGTGTCAACTGCAGTCCCATAACAGCATCAGTGAGAGAAGGGTTTTAAAATCAAACATTTTCTTCAAAGGCCTCGTCTCCATCAAAGGCACAAAATTCACTATTTGTATGAGAGCACCGAGCATGGGACATTTAAAGATGGAAGAAAGTTTTATTCTTGGATGAGAATAAATGTAACCTGGACAGTCCTGATGGCTTCCAACATTACTGACATGACAAGGAGATCCCACCTAAGATGTTTTCTATACGGCACAATCGGAGGGGCTTTTCCTTCAATGGAACAATGGAGCTTCAGGTTGTTCAGAGGCGTCATACGGCTGCTGGCTATGTGGAGATGTTGCAGGGGGTCTCCCTCATGACTGAAGCCCATTTGTGTGGTAATGACTGAGTTTTTCAACAGTGCAACGCTGCAGTTCACAATGCCAGCTTTTCCAATGATGGAACACTAGCATCAAGCATGCTGAAATAAACTTTTGACGTGATTAGCAAGAATGGCACGGCTACTCTTTGGTTTCAGATTTTATTTTCTATTTTAAGGTTGTTGTTTTTAGATATGGTCTTAAACTTTTGATCGGCTGATGAACAGCCTGTTTCAGAGCAAGTTGCTGTCATCAGAGGATTGTTTAAAATTGTAGTTGTTTGAAATACCCAACAATGTATGCAAACCGAGCATAAAATGATTTTCTCAAATTAATCTAATTTGAATATTTTCACATAATCCTATTTTGTGTGTCACATTTACTCTGACTTTGTACACATAACTTCTTTTAGCAAAAACCTTCGCTTGCCTTACTTTTCTTTTCTGAAACAGATGAATACTAAGTGAGACAACATTTAACCAGTCATTAGTGATAAGGTGGAAGATTTTCACTTGATATAAGGTAATTTCAAACAGATTAATTTAAGCTCTTCTGTACATCAGATCATTGCATATCCCACTACAGCAGATAGCTTACATGCTGGGTGGTGACCTGATGATCATTACTTTTTTTCATTTGATAACATAATCGGGTGCACATTCTACAAAATGTGTGAGAAAAATATATCTTTCACTGTGGTGTCTTTTTACTGTCATTCATAAAAAGAAACATTACATTAAAAAAGCAAACACACAAACCTACCTTTGATGCAGACTGATCTGGTATAAATTTATATTGTCTTTGACGGCCTGGGTGAACTTGTTTTTTATGTTGTTTATTTGTGCAAACAGTTTTAACATTTGTATTTTGTACGAATCATATTTTATTCCTTATATTTTCCCTGAAGGTGCAGACCATTGTATTAGCAACTTGTCAGTGTTTGTGTGTTTACTGGAAAGGTCCAGTCTAACAACACAATCTTCTGTTGTTGCATTGATCGATCCAGGTTGTGTATGACCTTAACAGCAGCAGATATAAACAGCTGGAGTTGTTTCAGCAGAAACAGAGTAGCAGGTAGCAGAGTGGAAATGAACAGAAGCAGTTGAAAGTGAGTGCTTGTGGATATAGCTCTTGTAGATATGTTATGCAGGGGAGCAGGCCCTTTCAACATATAAATCATATGTGTTTCAGCCATCTAAATAATTGATCAAACTACTCTTAGTGTTCCCATTTTCCTGGAGTTGTGCGTAAAATTTGATGGTTCCATAAATTATGAAGAAATAAACATTCCTTATGGGAACATTTAAATAATATTAGATTCAAAGAATAAAAAAGCAAGTTTCTGGAGTTTTCTTGATGTCATTTGAGATGGTGGTTAAAGTTTAGCTTGGATCCATGGTGACAGCAGAATTCCTCACGTTTCTTATCTCGTTGTCGCCATTGGGCCTAAGTGAATAAATGCAAAGAAACCAATCCTTATCTTCAAGTCTGTCATATGGTACTGTCATTAATGTGTGATTTTCTGCAGATAGCAGACAACCCTATTCAAATTATAGACTGTAAAACTTTAAATCAAATATAGTTAGCAACATTTTTACTGTTTTTTGCGATGAAATTGTCATTCATCACCTAAGTGTTTAGGCAAATACATTCTGATATTGTTTTTTTTTAGAAAAGAAATGATAATTGTCAGAAGAATGCTTTACCTTTTCCAGTTGGGCGTTCTGTTTGGACTTGTACAAGAACTCTCCAACAGCCACAAACACAGAGAGAACAAGTCCAGCTGCCAGGACGATGAAGATCCCTCCAATGTTCTGCACTCCAAGTGCACTGGCCTCTTTGCTCTCCTCTTCTGGACATCCATTTCCTCTCCACCACTTCTCTTTCATCATGTGCAGCTTCCCTTCCTCCTGTAGCTGCAGTATGGCAATAGTGATCTTATCTCTGTACGGAGAGCCTAAAGGACCAAAACACAAAATCAGCATGGAGAGTTAACATGATGCAATGCCTTCCATTTATAGTGCAGGACTCTGATTGCTGCAGAGATTGAAAAATTGACTGTTATTTACCTAATCCTTAAAACACATTTTCCTTTAAGGAATGCTACTCATTTAATTTAAGTTAGATTACAACTTAAATTGAAAGCTTAATAGCTTAGTAACTTAACTTAAAGGCTTTGAATTCCTAGAAGGACTGCATCCCATCTTTTGTGCCAGAGTTCAGATCAAGATCATCTTATGTTGAGAAATTACAAAGTTGTAGCTGTTTTCATACTTTATAAATAACATTAGTCTCCTACAATATCAGAATCAGAATAACTTTACTCATCCCAAAGGAAAATTGCTTATGCTAAAACTCCACATGTAATCAAGAAACATACTTTATTAGTTAGGTCCATATCTACTTGGACAGAGACATTTTCTTAATTTTGGTTCTGTACAATACCACAATGAAATTTGAACAAAACATTTCAGATGCAGTTGAAATTCAGACTCTCAGCTTTAATTCAGTGGGTTGAACAAAATTATTGCATAGAATTGTGACAAACTAAAGCATTATTTAAACACAATCCCTTCATTTCAGAGGCTCAAAAGAAATTGAACAAATACATAATTGTAAATAAAATGTTCATTTCCAGTACTTGGTTGAAAAGCCTTTGTTGGCAATGGCTGCCTGAAGTCTTGAACTCATGGACATCACCAGACACTGTGTTTCCTCCTGTTTAATGCTCTGCCAGGCCTTCACTGCGGCACTTTTCAGTAGATGTTTGTTGGTGGGCCTTTCTGTTTGACGTTTAGTTTCTAACAGGTGAAATGCTCATTTGGGGTCCTGGGTTGCTTTGGCTTTATGTTTTGGGTCATTATCCATCTATACTATGGAACACCGACCAATCAGTTTAACTGGATCTGAGCACACAGTATGTCTCTGAATACCTCAGAATTAATCCAGCTGCTTCTGTCCTGTGTCACATCATTAATAAACACTGGTGACTCAGTGCCACGGATAGCCATGCGTGCCCAAGCCATCACACTACCTCTGCTGTGCATTACAGATGATGTGAGCAGTACCACACTGACGTGAGCAGTACCACACCTTTAACAAGCTTTTCTCTTTCCATCATTCTGGTAGAGGTTGAACTTGGTTTCATCTTTCCAAAGAATGCTCTTCTAGAACTGTGCTGGCTTTTTTAGTATTTTCTTTTTAACCAAGTTCAATCTGATATTTTTAATTATTGAGCCTTAGGTACTGCAAAGTTTTTCTTTTTTTCCTCTCGAAAATTTCTACAATTAATATCATAAATTCTCTCAAATTTACGACAGTTGGAGCTTAGAGAATTTCCTTCATTTTTCTTGAAATTTTCTGAAATCAATCTAAAAATTTCTGAGTTTATTTGGCAGAGATTTGCTCCTCTTTTTTCATCTTCAAAATGGCCCTAATACACTGTTACACAGGTATGATTTAGGCTTCTGAGGTTTTGTTTTAAATTCAAAATTTAGTTGGTAACTGGTGTAATTGTACAAAATTATTTAATTTCTTATGCAAATGTATGTAAATTGGCGTCCTGATTCATCCCAATAAAACAGAGAAATCTACAAAAACTGTTAAGTAGGACCTCTGAACAGGTTTTTCTTCGTTGAAGCATCTTGTGTAAACAGGCAATGAGATTTAGAAAATTGCACTAATGAAAATCTTGCCTTGGGAGCCTCTAAGGTCAGCTCCTAGAACTGCCCCTGCTTCAGGCCCAAGCTTCCCTTGTGATCTGTGATCTTGATGGGATTTGCTTGAATAAATAATTTGGAAAAGGCTTTAAGCTGAAGCCCCTTGACGTCATTGCATTATGGCTGCAGTCGCAATGTTGTGTAACAACTACTTTGTCCTTATTTTTGAACAAGGGCTTCTAGTATGTGACTGTTTTCTAAAATTATTAAGTAAACTGTTGGCACATTTGAAAATATCTTTCACCATGGTGACGGGAAGAAAAAAAACTATCTGCTCCTTTTTATTCACTGCTATTCATTCAAGACAACATTTGTCAGATAAATCACTTGCTACCACAAACACAGATGCGTCCTTGAAACAATGCCAGATCTGCCCAGTCAAAACAAAAGAAATTACGTCAGCTGTAACATCACAGGCAGGAGAAATATAAGCTCTAAATCCAAACGCAGTATTAATTGGGCCAGCTCATTCTGGGCATGTGTCCTTTACACACATTCACAGGAGCACAACTCAAGCGAACATGGCATGCCCAAGAAAACAGACAACATATGTGGTTTGTTCCACTCTAATTTCAAAATACTGGGTTGTTGTAAAATGTGTAAAACATTATGGCAGCCTCATGTTTTAAAAAGTACAGGAAGACAAAAGGCTGTAAGTGGTGTTCAGATGGACCAGCGAGAGGAGCAATTTTCAAATAATTAGCTTAATTGGCAACAGGTCAGTAAGAGGGCCATGTATAAAAAGAGCATTCACAATGCTGAATCTCTCAGAAGTAAAGATTTGCAAAGGTTTGCTTGTATGTGAAAAACTGTGTCTAAAGACAGTAGAACAATTTGCTCTCCTATCATCTACATTTCATAATATCATCAAAAGTTGTCAAGAATCTGGAGAAATCTCTGTGCTTAAAGGACAAGGCTGAAAGTCAGTTTTGGATGACTGTGATCTTCAGACGCTTAGGGGCTGCTGTATTAAAAAAGAAACCTGATTCTGTCATCGACATCAGTGCATGGGCTCAGGAATACTCCATAAATATTTGTCTGTAAACCATATGCCATCAAGCTCCTGTTAAGGTTAGAGCTTTAAGTGTTGTGATTTGGTGCTATATAAATAAACTGAATTGAATTGAATTGAATTGAATTGAATTGAATTGAAAGGCCATACTTGAACACCATCAAGATATGATTTTTTTTCTCTGGGTCAAAGTTCATTTAAGGCTGCAATAGGTAACTTATAAAAAAATGCATATTTGTTTAAACTGTCAATATGTCCTGACAGTAGAATATGAGACAGATAAAAATGTAAAAAAAAATAAAGCTCCTCTGGCTTCTTATAGTGGTTTAACAGCCATTTGCAGAATTACACTGCTCTCTGTCAGAAGCAGCTAAGGCCGGCGTCACACGGAAAGATAATCATGCCGATTTTTGCCCTTCCGACAATCTTAAGGAAGTCCAGATTATCGTGATGGCTCTAAAGATAATCATAGCAGTTATTCCTGCTGTGGGAGGTGAGTTAAGAGTGATCTGGTCGGCTCGGAAGGACTTTGGGACCGCTCCGACCTCAAATCGGGGCTATTCAACATGTTTGATTTTTTGGCCCGATATCACAGTGTGTGTAGTGTTCACCCGAGAACAAATGAGCTCGCAGCCTGTGAATGAGACGTGTAGCCAATCAGAAAGCGAGCTGATGTAAACACGGAGGGGATTCCAAAATAAAGAACACAAAAAACTGTCATGACTCACTAAAAAGTCTGCTGGATGTTAAAAGCCCTGTGGCTTTGTTTTTCCTCTGGTAAAATAGTCCACAAACGATCAAGATTGTTTCTTCCTCGTCACAAATTTTTATTCACTCTGAAGTCACGTCTCTCTGGAGGTCACGTGAGATTTTTCCTCCGACATCTGAATTCTCATGAGATTTCAGGAAGTCTCGCGTGATTTAATATCTGACATCTGAATGTTCATGAAAGAAATATATTTTCATGTGTGGTGTGTTGTCTCTTGCCGTGTGGCTATACATCACACAATGTACCAAACCTGGTAGATCCAGGATTTTTTATCCTCACGTGTGGGCTCTCTCAGTCTTTGAAAATTGGCCGACTGTTTTAAAATCTTGTAGTGTGACGCAGCTTTCATCAGAGAAAAGAGGATTGTCTTATCAGTGCTTATCACACTAGCTTTGCTTGACATTGAGGCAGCACAATAAATGATGGTGTCATCAGCATATAAATGGAAAAGGACCAGATTCTACTTGGAAGAAAATAATAAAAAAATTGCCTTAAAAGTATTTCTCATTATTCTGGCTTTTAGCAAATAAAAAAGGGCAATCCTAATTGACCTAAAACAGGAAAAGTTTATTCTGAATTCACATCAGACATTAAAAAAAGGCTAGTGTCTTTTCATATAGTGTATGGAAACTTCTGGTTTCAACTGTACGTTTTGAGATATTTAGCATTTTTGCTGTGTTTTTTGAACTGGAAATTAATAGAGCTGTCCTGAACATTGAGGCCTAATGGCCCAGAGGTTAAACCTTGAAGAACACTCCTACTTTTATAGGAGACCACAATCATGTGACACAAAAATCAGTAGATGAAAAATGGTAAGCCTTCAGCTGATAAACTTAGCTTAAAAACCAAGAACTTAAAAACCAAGAACTGATCATTAATTCACTAGATGAGACTGCTTATGAGAACATGCAGTGTCAGAAGTCAGCCTCACCAACCTGTTCCTGTGGGACATGAAACTGGACTCAACCAGATTCTAATGGAGCCAATATTTCCCTGTAGAGGTCTACCAGAGTTCACCAGACCTGTTATCAGTTCCTCCCTTCCACAGCTGCTGGGAGCAGGCCTGAGAGGAGAAGCCCACAAATCATGGAAGCAGGCAGCTCCAGCCAACCAGAGGTGACACATGGAGATGAGCCAGTTGATCATGAAAGAGGAGGAGGCTCATGAAGAAAACATATCAACATGCCTTGGTTTGCTTGTAAAATGATTTTTTTCTGTTTTTACCATCTAGGAGAGGAGGTGTTTTAGATCATCTGCATAATCATGAAATGATGTTATCTGCAATTAGTTCCTTGTGTAGATGCATGAAAGGAGGGGTGTGTACTGTATGTTTATGAATAATAATCACAGAAGTTTAGAATAACCATGTAAACGACAGACAAAAGGGATTTTATTTTTATTTTTATTTTTATTTTTTTGCTATTGGACGAGTCACCACAGCTTCACTCTCCTGTTGT